ACCTTTTTGAAATTCAATACTGGTTGCAATTTCCGATGGCACCTGGACTTAAAATGTTTGTTTTGTATCTGTCTAATCATATGCCAAGTTTCATGCTTTTAAGTTAAAGTGCACAATCGAACTGTTTTGTGGAGCAAATCCACCCCACTATAAGTTTTATAGTTCTGTTTTCTAGTTCTCTGTCAAGCGTTTATTGATGTCATTAAACCTATATTTTGTTTAATAGCAGGTGCAAATCTTTACAAATTTATTTGAACCATAACGTCACTGTTTCTTTGAGTATTGTGAAGGTCCGTCGTTGAGATAGGTACGCTGCTGAAATAAACCTTACCCAGTCGTTCGAATGCTTATTGTTCAACCTTCAAAAGAACTTGAAATGTACTAAAATCGCATAATTCTTTAAAAAAAAATTCCCGCTACTAGGAATTTCACTTTCTGTTATACATGGATATGATCGCTAATACTAACTGATAAGCTTATCTAAAAAATCCTGTTTCGGAGACTAAGGTACGATTGATCAAAAAAATAGATTTGGTCTCTTAAATATATGCCACACCCTAGTAAAACAATTTCAAAATATGTTTCTTCAGTTTATAGATGGGTCTTATTTTCATAGTCTTATGGGTCTTAGTATTCTAGTTGGGTCTTAGTTTTATAGTCCTATGGATCTTAGTTTTTTTTTATATTCCTATGGATCTTCGTTTTATATTCCTATGGATCTTAGTATTCTAGTTGGGTCTTAGTTTTATAGTCCTGTGGGTCTTAGTTTTATAGATGTGTCTTAGTTTTCTAGATGGGTCTTAGCATTCTAGTACTATGGGTCTTAGTTTTCTAGTTATTTGGGTCTTAGTTTTATAGTCGGGTCTTAGTTTTCTAGTCCTATGGGTCTTAGTTTTCTAGTCCTATGGGTCTTAGTTTTATATTTGGGTCATAGTTTTATAGTCCCATGGATCTTAGTTTTCTACTCCTATGGATCTTAGTTTTATAGCCCTATGGCTCTTAGTTTTATAGTCCTATGGATCTTAGTTTTATAGTCCTATGGATATTAGTTTTATATTCCTATGGATCTTAGTTTTATAGTCCTATGGATCTTAGTTTTTTGGTCCTATGGATCTTAGTTTTATATTCCTATGGATCTTAGTTTTATAGTCCTATGGATCTTAGTTTTATAGTCCTATGGGTCTTAGTTTTCTAGTCCCATGGATCTTAGTTTTATAGTCCTATGGATCTTAGTTTTATAGTCCTATGGGTCTTAGTTTTCTAGTCCCATGGGTTTTAGTTTTATAGTCCCATGGATCTTAGTTTTATATTCCTATAGATCTTAGTTTTATAGTCCTATGGCCCTAAGTTTTATAGTCCTATGGCTCTTAGTTTTATAGTCCTATGGATCTTAGTTTTATATTCCTATGGATCTTAGTTTTATAGTTGGGTCTTAGTTTTCTAGTCCTATGTATCTTAGTTTTATATTCCTATAGATCTTAGTTTTATAGTCCCATGGATCTTAGTTTTATAGTCCCATGGATCTTAGTTTTATAATCCTATGGATCTTAGTTTTATATTCCTATGGATCTTAGTTTTATAGTTGGGTCTTAGTTTTCTAGTCCTATGGATCTTAGTTTTATATTTGGGTCTTAGCATTCTAGTCCTATGGGTCTTAGTTTTATAGTGGGGTCTTAGTTTTATAGTCCTCTGGGTCTTAAGTTTTATAGTTGGGTCTTAGTTTTATAGTTGGGTCTTAGTTTTCTTGTCCTTTGGGTCTTAGTTTTATAGTCCTATGGATCTTAGTTTTATAATCCTATGGGTTTTAGTTTTATATTCCTATGGGTTTTAGTTTTATATTCCTATGGATCTTAGTTTTATAATCCTATGGGTCTTAGTTTTATAGTTGGGTCTTAGCATTCTAGTCCTATTGGTCTTAGTTTTATAGTTGGGTCTTAGTTTTATAGTCCTCTGGGTCTTAAGTTTTATAGTTGGGTCTTAGTTTTCTTGTTCTTTGTTTCTTAGTTTTATAGTCCTATGGATTTTAGTTTTATAGTTGGGTCTTAAATTGAACCCTCGACAAATTGATCTGAAGGTTTAAATTTCGACATAGACCGAAACATCTGTCTCTATTCCAGCCTCTGATATCTATTTGGACAGATATCTGGCTGGTGTAGAGACAGAAAAACTAGGCCCTGTCAAATGGGAACTCTGCATCTCCACAGGTGCGGGGGATTTAAAGCTATTTAGATAACTCTAATCTGCGAAACCCACATATATTTGGAAAGATGAATATTTTTGCAGTTCAGTCATACCATCACAACGAACAGCCTTAAGTTCAAACCTCACAGAGTCACGTGATACTAACAAAACAAAAGTTACGCCCAACACTAATTTACAGTCATCGTAAAGGTTATTTAACATTATGTCAGAAAAACGCATCTTCAAAGGTGTGATAAAACGCCAATTAATAGGGTATATTTTTTCTGACTCTACTCCAACCGACAACTTTCAAAATATCTACCAGAGGCTGGAATAGAGGCAGATGTTCGGACTAATTTCGACTAATTATATATAGCTTATCTAAAAAAAAATCCGTTTCTGAGATTAAGGTACGATTGGCCAAACGGATGGCGAATATGTCCCTTTGAGGTTTATTTCTTTTTCTTTACAGTACCGCTATACTGATATTTTGAAACCCCTTAATTTATGTACAGTAACCTAATTTCGTGCTAACCTATTTTTCGTGCATCTCCGGAAATGATTTACATTTACATGTGCGACCTCGCGTGACCTCTGCATTTGCTTGTTTTGATAAACATGGGTTGTCTGCACACTGTTAGCTAGCAGAATGCATCCAGTAGTTTCAAGCAAGGTAAAATGTATTAATGTATACTTTGACATAAACAAAATGGCGGATTTCAGTTTGGCCAATCGTACCTTAATCTTAGAAGCGGATTTTTTTTTAGAAAAGCTATATATAATTAAGTCTTTGAATGGCATTTAGCAATTGTGATTGTTGTTCCATAAAGCTGTGTCTATATACTATATATAATTAGTCGAAATTAGTCCGAACATCTGCCTCTATTCCAGCCTCTGGTGAATATTTTGAAAGTTGTCGGTTGGAGTACAGTCAGAAAAAATATACCCTGTGAATTGTCATTAGTTATAATGAAATATTATTAAAGATAAATTCTAAGAAAAGTTAATTATTCCACTGGGTATCCATACAACGGGGTTTTCTCGAATTATAGATCAAACATTTTACACGAAACTAGGTGACGCATTTTTCCGCCGTTGTGAGTTGGGTTACTTATGAAATATGGGCCAAAGCGGGGGATTCATAAAAAAAATCGAAATTTTAACTAATTTATAGAATATCTGAGGAAACTTCTAAGACATTTGGGTTTTTAATTTTGACGAAATTCAGTGTCGAATCCTTATATGCACGAAAATAGGTTACACCACTGTATACATAGCATCTAGGCCTGCTCAACTCGGGTCAATATCTAGGACTTCGGTTGTAAATATATTCACGTTGAAATTTATTGATACACATCGAAGGACATGAACTTCGTGAGGAGTAATATTTCAAATTGACTAAGGTGACTATAATTTCAATATCGTTTTAGGTAGGCCAGCAGTTTAATTAGAATTAGACCAAACTTTCGTTCCGTTTTTTATAGGCTCTGGCGTGACTATATATTAAAACTAAAAGCTCTACATGTTCATTAATGAACTTACCAGGTGTCGTATTGCAAAAAAGAATCCCAATTTAAACCGATTAGTCCATAACACATAGTCACTATACATAAAAACGCAGGAAATTATTGAAAAACGCTTAATATTTTAATAATTACTTATTACTTATCATTTTGCTTTATTTTTTACATTTATTGTCATACAGGGATTCTGTTATTTAGTTATGACACCAAGTGAGTCCACTGATGAATATAGACCTACATGTTTGAGACTTGAAAATGTATGTTCAGAGGGAGTATTCCTTTAAATAAAGACACTTTACTCTAAGAAACTATAGACTTGAAATGACCCACATTTCGGACTCTTTCAAATCATATTTCCAATTAATATTTTTTTCATTGCATATGGTTGATATTTTGAAAAAGTCTATAATATTTCAACTAAGCCTTCAAATCAAAATTAAAGTTTAGAAATGGCTTTAAATGCGATATGAAACATTGTAGCCATTTTCAACACACGACTTACTAGGTCGAAGAAGTGATTCAAAATGGCATTGAACTACGTTCGTGTTTTTTTATTTCCACGTAAGAACAATATACAGTTACGTATTGTCATGATATCATGACCAAAATGGCGCAAGTGGGATAAATAAATAAATATCCATCTTTCCAAATATATCAGGATTGAAACGATTCGAGATAAATAAATTCGTTTAAACCCCAATACCTTAGGAGGTGCTGAAAAATTTCCATAGAACAGCCTTTTTTCTGACCTTCCCAACCCGACAACTTAAACAATAGCCATAAGAGGCTGATGTTTCTGACTACGAATCCACCAAATTGAATAGTTACGTTTCTTAGTGTAAAATATGATTAAAAAACACCCGATATAAGCACAATTTTTATTTCCTGTTGGGTGGTAGGATAGGTATATAAAACTCTACACCTTTTTATTGAACCCAAAACCTGCAATACGTATAATCATATTAAATGTGCAACTCTACGTACCTCTTTTTTTTTTATTTCAGCACAATGGTTGAAAGAGGTATTGCTTTGGTATGTATGCTGATAATAGTCGCATCACCAGATGTGGACGGGAAACATGTCATGCTACTGCCATTTATAGCAACAAGTCATTGTTTAGAGATGAGATCTATTGGTGTCGAGTTACTTAGGAGAGGACATAAAGTAACTGCATTGGTACCGGATTTCTTCAATCACAAACCATGTCTTGATAATAGTAATATCAATGTCATACAATATCAATTTTCACCTGAGGTCGCTCAAAATATTCAATCTGAGTTTAAAGAAAGTCAAAAGATGTTTTTTCGAAATGATAGAAACTTATTTCAGTTCTTTTTGTTGGCACGTGCTATCAGCTTTAATATCTTCACAGCAACGTTCCATTCTATCAAGAAAATTGAAGAGCGTTTAAGAGGCGAACACTTTGATATTGCTATTGTTGACGGAATACCGTTGTGCCAATATTATTTCTACGTTGCTAAATTTCTTTCTATTCCAACAATCGCAGAGGGAAGTGTTATAGAACAATATCTCTCCAATACACCATTTCAAACCAATATTTTACCCAGTCCTTTGTCAGGTTCAACGAATCAAATGTCTTTTAGCGGACGATTATTTAATTTTTTTGCTCAGTGTTTTTCAAGATTCCTGCTGTCTTACGTACTTCACCAACCGGACGTGAGTATTTTATCTCCAGAATTAAACAAGTATTCAGCTGAACATTTATATAAAGAATCTCTGTTATTTATAGAAAACGCAGATCACATCGTAGATTATCCTAAGGCTATTTTTCCAAATTATATCCAGGCAGGACCTCTTACGGCATCTCCACCAAAACCATTAACTCCAGATTTGGAGAAATTTATGCATAAATCGGTGAAAGAGGTTGTTTATATCTCACTAGGAAGTGTCGTTGAGAGCCTTCCAGAATATATAATCAAAAAACTTGAGACAGTGGCTAAAGACCTAGAGAAATTGATTATATTTAAAAGTAATTCTGAATCGGAGAATGGACATATCAAACATGTTAAATGGGTTCCTCAAAATGATATCTTAGGTCATAACAAAACTGTTTTGTTTCTTTCACATTGTGGAAAAAATAGTTTCTTGGAATCTCTCTATCACGGTGTTCCAATTATATGTATGCCATTTAATGTGGATGCGTTTGGAATTGCGAGTAAAGCCGAACATTTTAAAATTGGTGCTCAATTTGATATCAGAACTTCTACGGTTGAGGAAATAAGTGCTATTGTCAATTCTGTTCTTAATAATAGGAATATTAGAGAAAATGTTCAGCGAGCATCCACTATAATAAAAGATCGACATTTCACTCCAGCTCAAACCGCATGCAATGCCATAGAACATGTTTTTAAATATGGTAGTGATCACATGACATCACCAATGAAAGATTTATCATTTTTAGCTTACAGTGGGGGTGATGTTTGGATGGTTGTGTTTGTCGCTTCATCCTTTGTTTGTTGGCTTACAACCAAATTGTTTTTGAAATGTGTAAAGATTTATTAATGAATACACATAATGCTTTTAAGTTGTCCCCAAAATATCAAAAAAATTGCTCTCTTAACCGAAAACGCAGATAACTTGGCGAATATCATTGTTTTGGTCATGGGACTAAAATAGGATGGCAAAAGATTCCAACAATATAGTCAACGTGATGAACAATCGCTCTCTGATTGGATATTATGTTAGTTTTGCCGCCATGCGTAAATTACTTTTTGCGAATACTTAAAGATGGTTTCCCTTAGTTTCATTTATGATAGGCTACCTGTATGAAAAGAAAATAGATGTGTTCTAATGGGGTGTTCCCACTTTCCCGGCAAATTATCCGGATTAAATTTTTCTAATCCGTCTCCAGCATCTCCATATTCCATCATTGTCTTGCTGTTATTCTGAAGACAGACTTTCAGGCGGTCCAGTTCATGCTCCGATTGGTGATACTTTGGGCGTTTCTTACCACCAGACTGGAGCTGACTGATGGTCACTTCGGTCATTGCTTGCTTAGCTTTTATCAGGGTGATGAATCTGAAGATATTAGGATGGTTGGTGGTCATCTTGTTCATTCTAGCATGCCACCCCTCAACATGATTGGTGGTTCGCGGACCTACAGTGTGAAAATGGTTCCACATATGTTTATCTTCTCCTTCCACCCACTGTTCGGTCACATAGCAAACTTTGCAATTGAGGGATCTTCCATGTTAGCGGCTTCAGGATTCAGGTTTAAGTAGAGGTAGAGCAGATGCTCTCCTCACGAATAAGTTCACATCTGGGTTGGGCAATTTGGACATTTTGGAGAGTTCGGTATTTTAGACCCACCGTAATTTCGGGTTATACACACCCGTCCTTTCTCTTTACTCAGCACACGTAGCCCATGTTTTGTATAATCAGGCATTAGGGCATTTTTCATGCCAGCACCGACAAACTTCAGCACGGGCTCGAAATCTGATGCATGTACCTCTCCCGAATTCTCAAAATGCGATATTGCCAGAGCCTATACTCTAAGATACCATTCGTCGAGAGGACGTAATATAGTAGGTAAGAATTTGAAAGGGTCACGTTAAGTGTATCAGAGGACAGGAAATTAGGTAATAATGGTTATAAATATTTGTGTAGATATGAAATATTACATAGTATGGTACAAAGATACGTCTATTTGTAGATATATCCACCAACTACAATTCACACGTTGCACACATTTCCACCCCTAGGGCAGTTTGTACTGAGAGTTAATAAGTGTCTATTAGATAAGTAAGGCCGAATGTATTAAGGTGGTGAACTTTCTTACAATGTATAGGTCTTCTCGGTACAAATATTGACTATATAGAGCTCAACTTGAGCAGTCGACGCGTCTTTCGGATAAACAATTTCCAGTAGTCCTTCAAGACAACAGTTTTGCATATTGGGCTTTTTTTTAGACGCATACGCACGTGTGAAATTAAATGAAAATCCTGATTATGTTGGCTTAAAATTTCATGATTCAGAAGGAATAACTATATAAGATTTTATAGGCATTATGCCTATATTATCCATACATATCTAGGCCTTTTACTGAATGACAAAAAAAGATCATTTTACGATTTTTGTTTGCAAATTCAAACGAACTATAATGGCCTGATCGGCAGTCAGCTTTCTGATAATCGCATCTAAATCCAGCAACGTTCTGAGATATTGGCACTTCTTATCGATCTGAATTTTGGATACAGTTGGCTACTTCCGCTACTGATATATCTCTGTCAGAGCCATATTTATGTTGAGAGCCAATATATGGCTCTGATCTCTGTATTGGTAAGTAAAGTATCCATACTGAAAAAATAAACAAAAAGAATTTTATCATAAGTAGACATATTTCCAATGAAAGATAGCGCATTTTAACTTCTCTTGGTGGTACGTCAGTCCACAATATTGCTCGTAAACACTCTTAATGCACATTCTGGACTGATTTGACGAATCTTGTTGTGAGGCACTAAAAGGCACGATTCTTGCCGGATTTGACAAAACTTGATAATATTATCAGTAGGCCTATATTCAGTATCGCCCCCAAAAGTTCAAAAAAGTGTACGACTGAAGATTGAATATTTCATACTGGTGATTGTTACCTACTGCCAACTGTTTTTATTCAAAATCAAAGCTGCCAGTGGGCGTATATTACCTTGCCTGACAAGCTATTTTTTTTTTCATTCATTCATTATATTGTCCTCGTGGGTTGAATGTTAAACAGAACCATGTCCATGTGTAAAGGGCCTAATTCTGACCCATGTAAAATAAAGAGTTTATTTTTATACTTATTACACATACGCGATTTACTTTGCGTAAAACGCGTTATATAGGCCTAGTACCGGTACGCCTATTTTTGAAAATGACACAGCATAGGCTAAAATACGCCGGCTTGTCCACATGAGCGTAGTGCGGAGGCATTTGAGAATTTGAAAACTTTCTGTCTGTCCTATTTTTTTTTTACAGTTTTTTACAATTCCAATAAGACCAAATTTCGATCCGTTTTGTTAGCTTTTAGTTTCAATATAGCCTCTTCATTTGGGGTTTATAGACGGTCTTCTTGAACATTCGTCAGTTTTCTGACACCGCCAGCCAATCAAATTCCCGCCCTTTCAAACACTGGGATTTTAAGAGACGCAAACAAAAGGTGCAATCATATCCATAATGCTTCTTTGAATATATTTTGTTTGCGTCACAATTTTGGTGTGTGACCCGGCTCAACATTTCAAAATAAAAGGCCTTCGTGGTACCTTAATTGACTGTATGACCTATGGCTACCTTTCTTTTATCGTGGAATTGCATTATTAGGCGTTTTGGTTGGATTGTACGTAAGCGAATACAGTCAATCCACGACAGAAGTCTGTAAGTGTAAACATAGCAACAAGCCATAGGGCCTATTGTTCACAGTTTGTCCAGGGATTGGCTGATTCGCTTACGTAGGCTACCTTAGCGTACAATCCAACTAAAAACGCTGTATTTACAAACTTCTGTAATACAAGAAAGGTGGCCATTGCAGTCAAGGTATAATACGAAGTTCGCAATAGCTTGGCATTGTGAAGATGACAATGCAAAATATCGTTTATAATGTCAGAATGCGCTCAAAATGAGGTTATCGGGTTGTAATCATTCTTAAACTGAGGAGCTGTAAGTTTCGCAAACAGACCCGTCTGAATTCCATATATATTATACTAAAATTATTAGGTTCAAATCTTCCGACAGTACAATTAATCCTCCCTTCATTATCATGAAATTTTGTCCTAGACTTGTATTGATTATAGAATGCAAGACGGGGACAAAATAACACTAGTTTTGAAATAACCTAGTACTCCTATGATGAGATAACTTTAGCTGGCGTGACCTGAAAGGTCTTTTATACTTTTGTATTACTACTCTAATTTGACATAAAGCTAAAGATATTTTTAGTTTCATCAATCAAGCCTGCGATGACGATTAGAAATATAGTCCCTCGGATTTTTCTTGACAATAACCAAAGATGGATGGATTGAGACTTAAATTCTTCTTTTAATTTATGTGGACTTATATTCTATGCACATTCAAGACATGTAAGTTGCTTCCGATGGTTGTTAGGCAGTTTTTGTCGAAGAACTATATTTCGCGTATTATTACAAATTTCCTTGTGAAGAGGCCGTAGGTTGATGAAGTATGGAAGATAACTTGTACCTTTCATGAATGGAATGAATTTGAAAATTATCTCTCTGATATTAGTCATACAAAAGAAACAGAAACGGAGTCAGATGCTGGATTAATTAATGCTAGTGATGGAAAAGCTGTCCCCTTTCACACCTCCAATTGTGAAGCGACTTTTAGGGTTAAAAAAAGGAGAACATGACAGAGATGATAAATGGTCAGAAAAAGCTGTCAAAAGTTTAGTGAAAAAGTTACAGAAAACTGGAGGCCTAGATGAGTTAACTAAGGCATTGTCAACACAAGACATCAACACTAGTTGTATTACAATACCAAGGTGAGAAAAGTCTTGAATGAATTGTATTTCTAGTGCATGAGTGGAAGAGTAATTTGAAGCACTATCCCCAAATCAAAACACAAGTTACACTGACAAAATACAATAAATACAGTGATTGGCCTTATTAGTAGCTTTACCCATTAGGCCTAGGCTGAAAAAATCATTAAGTACCTTTCTATATGTCTTTAAAAGGACAGGTTTGCCATTTTTGGGAGTTGATTTGGGTCTTGAATTATATATGATACCGGTACAGTATGTGATTAATTTACTTTTAGAAGTACTAAAAATGTGCGAAAAATGCATAATACCTAACAACAAATACTTGGACCGGTAAAAACTAAGAATTTCGTCATCATTTTAACTTTCAAACACAAATAATTCTGGAGACACATGGATTTGAAAGCTCAAATTTCAACGTTGAGCTGTGATCAATATTACAGATTAGCTTGGCTAATAAATTCCTGTTTCTGCAACTAAGGTACAATACCGGTAGGTAAAATTGACAAATCTTTCCATTTAATCTGTATAATATTGTCAATCTTATGCATGTCATAATTTATTTGTTAATACTGTAGGCCTACAATTTGACCACTTCACTTGTGGAATAAGAGTGTACCGGTATATCAAATGTGGCCTTTTATGAGTAAAATTTTCAAACCATATTTATCTGTGGAGCTGAAAAGAAATAGATCTAGCATGCAATAGAAAATATCATATTGAATATGACTATATAAATAAAGTATTATTTATTACAATATGTGCCTGTAACTGCAGGACATTGGCCACATTTAAAAACAAAAATAAGATTTAGTCCAGAAAGGCCTTCTACACTCATACCCTAGTATGCTGCATGACATTACTGACCCTATTATTCATTTAAGTAACAACATTTCTTCTTCAAACTTTATGTTAAACAGTATATAAAGTGATTGTTATTTGAAGTTTTCTCACTGTCAAGTCTTATAATAATACACCCCTGGCTATCACCAATGTTATTTTATAGTGGCAGAGCACAATCATTATTCAACAACAAAGACATGTACCAAAGTATTATACACATCCTACATCTATCATTCTATGTAGGTTATACATGTATTGTAGTAAACTTATAAATATATTGCAATGATAGACAACCATTTATTTATTAGTTAAATATTATTTTAACTCTAAATGAATAAAAGTATTAGCTTATAGATTAATATTTTGAGAATATAATTCAAATCGTTTCTGTTTTTCAGGCCTTGTATTTTAGGACCTTAAAGATGGGCTTCCTTATTTTTTAGTGTCAAATTAAGCAAACTATTTGATTAATTGGTGTTTCTAATGAATTAGCATGTATTCTTCATCATATCATTATTTTCTTATATTGCATATAATTTAAGTTTTAAGCAATCATAAAAGTCCATGTATATACAGTCTGGATAATCAAAAAAAGACTTTCAGACCTTTTTTGATTGGTCACTCATTGGAATTCTGCCGGTAATTCTTTTCTAATTTAGCTAGTTATGAATTGATTATGGACATGTTAGACAAACTGGTATTTTTCCAAGTCATTAGAACACCTCTACTTTCTATTCATATAAATATTAGCATTTTGATTTTCATAAATGATAATGAGGGAACCCATCTTTAAAGGGATTGTAAAGAGGTTTTTGTTATCGAAATGTCAATTCTTGTTTTTTTTTTTTTTTTTTTCGATTTTTACACACCTTCCTGAGCTTAGACTACAATAGTTGCAGCAACCATTCAACATTCACGAACCTTAGATATAGGCGACGATGTGCATAAATATATTTTGGATCTTTTTTGCAAAACCGGAAGTGCCACAGTTCAATATATGGAAGAATAGATAATCGGCTCTAGAAGTCGTATTTTTCGGTCGATTTTCTTTGGGTTTGCATTTTTGGAATCTGTTAAAATCTGAAAGAATAGCAGTTTCAAAATTTCAAAATTCGAAAATTTGTCACAGACATTTTTTTTGCCAAATTTTGCATTTTTTTCATTTTTTTGCTTTTTGTCTGATTAATCTGAAAAAAATTGAGCAAAGACAGTTTAAGAATGTAAACAAAATGGTACAGTCAAATTTTCAATTTCACTTCCGGTTTAAACAGGAAAACGATGTTCACTTCCGGTTGAATATCTTCCGGTGTAATTTGTATAGGACAAAAATTTTTATGCTGATAGGTAGACAAAGTTATGACAAAAAAACGAAGAAAAAAAAATCCGGAACAGACGTGAAACTTTGGCCGCCATTTTGATTTTTCTGAAATGATTCGATTTTTATTCAGACATAATGGCTCATCCGATTTAAATGATTTTGGTGTCAAATGAAAGAAGATAAAAAAAAAAACCTGACATGAGGAAGCCGTTTTTCGATTCTCAATTTTGCTTTTTTGCAACATCCGGTTGAATTTTTTCAAAGTTTGAAGGGTCATATCTCGTGATCGTGAACTTTGATGACCTTGACCTTCATAAGGTCAAAGGTCATTGACCTTAGCTATCAGTTAATACTTTGACATTTGACCTCCGACATGTACTTCCAGTTTTATAGCTGTCCGAAAACAGCCAAATTCGCAACTTTGGACTGCTCTAGCAGGTGACCTAATTAACCTAGAGGGTTAATCTTTTCGGATTCTTAATGTGCTTTTCATGCTTTTTCAAATGATTTATAACAATCGTTTTTAAAAGCAAAATTGAAATTCGTGAATTTTTCAAATTTGAGTTTTTTTTTTTACAATATTTCTGTTTCTTTGAGCTTGGTGTGTATATATCTTATGACCTATTTTATGTAGAACATTGAAACTTGGAACACAACAAGACAATTTGAATATAAATTAACCTATGACAAAAAAGTTGAGGTGGGCGTGGCACATCCGGGTTGAATTACTAATTGTTTACATTTTGAGAAAGGGGCATAACTCACATAGGATACATTTGTTCAGAAAGGTACTTTGCACACAATTACCTCATTATTTTGGCCAGTTTGTGTTAATAGGTCAATTGTTTCAGCTTTATAGTTCCAAAAAAGGAACGGGTATTGAAATTTCCATATTTTCAATTTTTTATTTTGACCTTTATTGACTCTTGTTGACCTATATCTTTTGACCTGTATGATGTAGAAGCTTTAAATTTGGAACACAACTTAACATTCAGAATATCAATTAACCTATGCAAAAGAAATTGAGGTGGGCCTAGCACATCCGGGTTAAATTACTCATTATTGACAATTTTGGCAAGGGACATAACTCGCAACGTATACATTTGTTCAAAATGGAACTTTGCATACAATTACTTCATCCGTTGAGCCACGTTGTCTTGGAAGTTCGATTGTTTCAGCTTTAGCGTTCAAAAAAAGGAACAGCTTTTGAAAATTCAAAATTTTCAATTTTTGACCTTGACCTTTTTTGACCATGATTTTTGTAGGATTAAAGGTCATTCACATTGGCTATCTATTTATACTTTTATATTTGCTGTCCTATCTCAACTTCCGGTTTTATAGCCGTATATATTTAAAAATTTTGATGACTTTTATCTCGTAACCTTGACCTTTGTTGACCGTCTCCCTTTCAATGTCAAATGTCATTGACCTTGGCTATCTTCTGATACTTTCATTTGTGAGGTCTGTCTACTTCCGTTATAACAATCTTCCAAAAAATTCTTCTCAACTTTAGACAGCTCTTGTGCGTGATCTAATTATCGTAGAAGGTTGATTTTTTTGAGTCTTTTGCATTTTGCTACATTTTCAAAGTCCCACTCTGTGCCACGTGTGGCTCTAGTCTAAATTTGTTTTGTATATCGGGGACAATGATAGCCTAATATGAAAGAAGCATAATTTTCGATGATTGACATCATCAATCACTTAGTTTTTATGGAATGACAGGAACCACAGCCATCTGACTGAAAATTGGAAGGTAGCAAATTGCTAGTAATATACTTGCAAATTTACCCAAGTATTAAACAACATATAGCCATCTCTACCTGACCATAACAAGGACTCCGAATTGCATTCTTGACATTGACAATCAAAATGGCTCCACGCTTCAGGAGAAACAAACTAGTGCTCCCATTGTTTTTCATCTTATCTCTACTGTTGTCAGCAGCCAAAGACAATATGCTCCGTAACTCTTCAAATTTTTGTTTAGATTCAAGATATCAAAATCAATTTGTTGAGCTTGGTCATATATAACGATCAAAATCGTGTAAATGCATTGAGAAGTGGGCAGCAGGATTAATTGGTCTTGTAATAAATATGAACCATTTAAATCTGTTCAAAGTCATCTCCATTTACAGGTTGATCTTTTAAATGTCTGTAATTGAATCCTGAAGCATCCTGATCATTCTAGAACAGACACAGCTGTTAAATTTGTGTCATTTGACTGTGATCTAAAACCCTTTCGCTGGGTCAACATTTATGACATAAGTTTGCAAGATTATAAGTTATAAGATAGCTTGCCAGACAATGACTTACACCAAGGCTTGAAATAACTCTGTATATTGGGTCAGGCATTTTGTCCGGCACAATTCAGTTTGTGACGTAAATTTGAAATTTTGTATCGGACATAGTAAAAATACGATATTTTCATTTAAAACCCATCAATTTGGGACTTACGACTGATATTCGCCGCTTTCTCACCTGCTGTACAGGTTAACAACTGGCTAAAAATAGTGTATGCCTCTCCGGGAATAATAGAGCCGAAAAAAAGTAGGTAATTAAATTAAATCATATCTTGATGAAAAGTTCTTGGAACAGGAAAAAGAGTTGTCCAAAGTAATAAAAGATGTCTATTTTTATCAGCCAATGAATTTCTTTCTTTCATTATTTTCCTACTTTCGTTATTGAGAATTTGTGCAAATGTTTAACAGGGTGCTTGACAATTTCCTCTGACTCAGTGTATGTCTTTGTATCAAATTCTTATGTAATATTTGAATTAATAGTATTAAAGCGTGATTGGACATAATTATAATATATAGTAGTACCATATGAAAGATCATCTCATGTT